TGAAAAAAATGGATTATCCAAGGTATGTGTTGTGATACATCACTGGAGTCTTGCACTAGAATATAGCATTGAAAGTCTTAATTAATTAGTATCTAAATTACATATAACTAAATTCTGGTGGGAAGGGTAATTGGAGATATTTTCAAGCTGAAATAATTAACTGAGCGAATGTGGGGCGTGAATAGAGAGAACATGTATTTGTACATTATAATTATTACTAATGCATTTTGAAATTGAAAAGGAAACTACTTTTGGCTATGTATTCACTTTTGTTGAAGGTAATGATCTATTAAAGGTAGTTTTGTGTTCTGCAGAACTTATTCAGTGATGTAAGTCAACATTTTGCAGAGTGAATGCAGATTAGTGGTATTATAATGTCATCTTGAAATTGGGATCTGGTAGCATTGCATGATGGTTTAATCAGTGGGTAGCTTATGCTTTGTAAGAGATGATTTGAGCATCTTTGATGGGCTGACAGTTTGTAAAGGTGGCTGTAATGAACTACCAGGTTACAGCTCGCCTGGAGTAATTGAAGCACCTCATCAGACACTCAGCAGCCACGTTTTTCCTTATCACACAGCTTGGGTCATAGGCTTCACATTACTTAATAGACACAGGATGGAGATATTATTACAGCAGAAGAATAGATAATATTGAAGGAGATTTTAGATTGTTGAATTCTGCTTGCTAGCATTTAAAGGAGTGTTTTTAATTCTGCAAATTATATGCTTGTGATTGCTGTGGAGTCATTTGTTAATACCTCAAAATTAGAAAATTTTTTTACTCTATTTGGTAATGAACATATTGCTGTAGAAATATATTAAAATAAATTTAAGACCATTAGCTTTTCTGTTTGTGAATGATATTACCCTATAATTCTTGTGCCTTTCTTTCTTGTTGAATCCATAAGAAAGCTGTACACTATCAGTGAAGTGATGAACATAATCTGTGCCAATGCCAAAATAGCAAATGTAGATGGTCATGTTGATAGTGTAGTCAAAAGTGTGACCCATGCACGTGCCTGCATTATCGAGCTACTATCAGTCTGATGAGCTCATTTGCCAATACCAGGGAAAGTAACTGATGTGAAAAAACACCAGTAGTTTGGTGTATGTAGCATCCCTGGTCTCTGGGGTTTTGATTTGATTATTTTGAATTGGTGAATATATGCTTTTAAAAGAAATCAACTGTGCAATTCACACACACACCACCCGGCTGACTGGGGAGGCTTCAAATAACATCTTATTAGAAGAATTTTTACCTTTTGTAGTGTTTGTTCTTTCTATAGTGCTATAGCTTTACTTTCCTACTTAGTGTTTTAATACAAAGGAACTGCTTGGAATGTCACTTCTAATTTTAACTGTCAGCTTAGTTCTTGACTTGATATACTTACCAGTAGGTTCTCTGCCTTGCCTCCAGGAGCAAATCTCCTATTGTAAAATCAATTCACAATGACACACTTCTTCCCCCCCACAATGGTACATCAAATCATATCTATAGGAATGCAAAAATAGCTCAAACCTTATGTTCTCTTTGACAGCTTCAAAAGTTTCTTGATGCTTTAATTTTCTAAGTTTGGGGACTACTCTTTAGCAATTTCACTGAGATATTTAATTCGTATTTAGAAATAATTTGTCTCCTCAAATCACTGTTTTAAAGCAATTTCCTGATCTGGGGTGGTGGTGGATGGGGTGCCTGTTGACTTTCTCAGTGTTTAGAGAAAGATGTAAGAGTTTGTCTAGTTGCTGTTGGGCATCTAGATTGATTCAGTAAGTTCTTATAACAATTATTGGTATTATTCAATGGCAGGAGTAAAGATCCCTAATATATTATGCCTTATCACAGTGGTACATATCTGATTTTGATCATATTTTCCATACATAAAGACCAGATCATTGAAATGTCCCCTTTTAATAAAATAAAACCCAGAAAAATAAGATAATAGCTAGTCCAGATGAGCTTATGTTATGTACCTAAAATATGAGAAATTGTGGCTCTCTTTGGGTGCTGAAAAACAAAGCTGATTCTTTATCACATATGCATAATGGTTTCCTTGATTACAATTTTGTTGTCTAATTTGTAAGTTAATTCCTTGTTAGGTTTTTGTGTGATGGACCATAGCACATTTCATCTAAATGATGAAAAGTCTGCCATGATAGTAATTCTGAGGATATTTTTCTTCAGGTTTGGATATGGGAAATGTTTAGCAGCAACAGGTGCTTTATTTTCTGGCATCCTTATGCTCTTTCATCCCTTTTTCTTGTTTCTCTTTCTGTTCTCTTTCACATACAGAAGTAGTAGATACATGTCCTCTGCTCAGTGTTCTGGATTGTGCACCTTGGAAAAGCATTGACATTGTTTTGAAGCTGTAGCGTTGCTTCATTGCAGCTTGCACTGCTGCAGAGAGGGGAGTAACTTGTCTCTAAAGAGGCTCTTGAGCTGCAGCATCTGCGGGCTTAAAATGCAGAGAGCTTGAAATCATCATCTTCTCTCTTGTGTTTGCTGTTGTATGTCAACTGCATTGTGAGACTGCCTGCACTGAGACACATTGTCATTAATTGTTTGAAAGCTATCTTTGCTGCCTGCTTGCCAATTTACTTGTATTTCACACTTGTCATTCATGTACAAATCAAAACACTAACTCTTTCAGTCTTGGCACTATAGAAAACTACACCGAGGCTGTGATTGCTCATCCCTTCTCTTTGCAGACACCTGAATCACCTGAAATCTGTGTAACAGGGAGTTGCTTTTCTTTGCCTACTAACATATATCCATTTACCACAGTTACATGTTTTGGAAGAAGTGTTAAGTCTGATGATTTCTCATGTTTCTGTCTTTCATCTTTGGAGCATGAATGTAACAGAGGAATGATTTTTCTGCAGGGATGGAAGGAGGAAAACTGTTCAGAGTCTTTTTATGTAGTCACAGCTGAGTGTTAAATGGACTCAGACCTTCATTAACTTCCAAAATAAACTCCATTTGGTCATATCCCCACTGAAAGATTGCTTGTAGGAACGAGGCTGCATTATCTACATTTCAAGGGAGGGCTATCTGAGAGACTCTATTGGGGCTTTGAAATTTAAAGAACTAAAATAGTTACCAGGATCATTGCAATGGAAAGCTCTTCCTAATTAGTCTGCTTTCTTTTTTTTGTTGTTGTTGGACTATTATTGCCTGTTTTCCCAAACTGACTTTAGCTCTTGCTCATAAAGACCTGGTAGATGCTCAAAGAATGCCTCACTCTACAGCACTTGACAATTGCTCCTGGGGTTGCCATGTATTTGTATTAGCACTGACTTGCTGGATTCTATAAATTAAAAAGTTCTCAACAGAGCTCTTGGGTTACTATCAAAACTCACTGCATTGTTTCACTACTTTGTTCTTTTCTCCCTATTTTTTTGTTTTAAACAATAAGATGGGGTATTTTTCTGCCTGCAGAACAATACATTCCTTTAAGTCCAGCCCAGTCCGAATAATTTTTCAAAGAAATCAATTTACAAGTGGTTTCTAGATAAGTTTTTTTTCTTGGTATACTCCAGCTTGTCTCTTGAATTCTGACATATTTCAATACAACATAGTGTGGTTTTTTTCATTCTTCTCTGTTTTATTTTAACCTTTTGTTTCCTTTGGATGTTGATTTGTGTTTATTAACTGGGTTTGGAGTATTCATTTAGTAAGTGGTAAAAGGTTAGAAAGAATAAATAGAGAATTTTCAAAGAAATCCTTTTTATGCTCTCTGAAATGTTTTGTGTTCTGTTACTAGGCAGTCTTTCAGTCTTCTTGCATTGAATTTTCACAGTTTTGATCGTGAAAGACAGTGTATTTCTGTGTAAGTAACGGGTCCTTTTGTGAGAAAAGAAGGATCAAGACATCTACTTGAAAATGAGCATGAAACCCTTAGCAAAAATAGTCTGGTTCTGGCAGGCCAAACCAAGCAGTATAGATACAGAGAAAGGGGTAGACAAGAAAACTTGTGCATGTTAGGCAAGTGTTATAAATATGAACTGTTTTATGAAGTCATTCATTAAGTGGCAGATATGTGAAACTCAAGTTCAGACTTTTTTTTTTGGATAAAATTGCTGCACAATATGAAAAATCTCATCTTTAGGATCACTTGGAATAAAGCACCACCTGAGGAAGGAATGTTAAAACAAGCATTTGCATTAATCTCTGCAGAATGTCACTGAAGTAGGGAATGAGCTCTGTGACATTCATGTTGGGGACCTGGAATGAAGGGAGTGTATGGGTACATGTTCTAAGGGTTATTTGTTACCATATATTAGGGATAAAAATGGATAAGAATTTTAAGGGAAAAAATATTAATCCTGACGGAGTGATTGATAGCTTCACTCTTCTGAAATATGAATCACACTTATTAACTAGAAGAGTTTGCATCTTGTCTGCAAAGCACTCACAAAAAATGATAGTGGTAATTTGTATCCTATTGCATTCGGCAATAGGTCCATATCACTTAATGTCATTTGAATTGCATAGGCAGAGACCATATTCGAAGTTTCAAGTGCTGATAAAGAAATCCCTTTCAGATAAAAATTGAACTAAAATGCTTTCTGTAAAATTACATGTTATTTTGTTCACTTGAAAATATCCTAGTCTTTGAATAGAATCTGACATTTGATTCAGCCTTGTTAGGAAATATGAGAAAATATGAAAGTTTGAATGAGCTGGGCTTGCCTGACTTGCTGAGGAATGAAGTGTCATCTAAACTTTCTGATCCTGGAAGTATGAAAAAAACCTTCTGAAGTTACTTTTTAAAGTTTCCTTCGGGGTCTTTTCTTACAGTTTATTCCTTTTGTAACTCATTGAGCTGAAGCAGGATGGCACAGATCAGTAATTAAAAAATGCCTTTATCCGTCTGCCTTAGTGATTTCTATGCTTTGTTGTCTTTGTTATCTCCATGTCACTTCAGCTGTGAACAGCCAAACAGAGGGACTTCCCAGTCAGGTTCCAAATCCTAATGTTTTGCCATCTTTGTTTCACAGAGTTCTGATGCCTCTGAAGTGGTAATCCTGGAGCGCTGCTGGGTAGTGGAATTCAGGAATAAAACAGATGTTTCAGTAGTTCTCAGTAAGTAAGACATATCTCAACGTGTTCAATGTGACTTTTATTTTTGCCAACAAAAATGAAAATAAAAAACTCAGCCATCCAGGCATTGGAACTTAGCTAAAATTTTAACTAAAATATATCCTGCTGTCTGTTCAATGCATACATTTAAATACTGGTGGTCTCTGAATTCATGCTTACAAAGAAAATCCTAAAATCAAGTGGAAGTCATGTTATCATATTCCTCTGACAATAAATAAAAGTTTGAGATTGTTTTGTCAGATATTTTGTACGATATGAGGTCTATGTTGATGCATAGTCAATGCATCTTATTCTTCAGTAACTAATCATTGCTAAACTCCACATTAAATGACAGGTTTCCTGTTTTTTTTTTTTTTCACCTCCCTATCGATTCTTCATGCATAAAATTGTTAAAAGCAGCAAAAAAAAGCTATCTCATATAAATCAGAATCCTTGTTTTAGGGGAAAGATTTTATTTGGAGGAAGTGCTGACAGTTTGCTCTGCAGCAGCCACTTAAATAGCCTCTCTGTTAGAAATTTTTTATGACGTGGATTCTTTCTGATACCACTGCAGAGTTTTGAAGTCCTTAGAAGTTTGCCATTTTCTGTTAGCTGTGATAGCCTAAGAGAAGAGGCAAAAAAGTTAGGCTGCATTTGTGGGCTTGATGGATACATTTGCATTCAGTAGAAGTTCCTATTATCTATTTTTATGCACCAAAACCTCTAGCTCACTTCTAAGAAAGTGTTGCATTAATTATACTGATTTTTGTCCTCACCTGCTGAAGTGATTCCTAGTGGTTGGTCGTGTTTGAGAAGGCAATGACTTAAATTATATTCTTTGTGGATTTTATCCTTATCTGGGTTGTATTCTGGGGAATAGCTCACATCTTTCATCTTTTGTAGGGAACGAAATTCTATGTTTTGTGCCTGATGTTGAGCCACTGCATCAAAAAGTATTTCTTTCTGGGTTTGGAAGCATTGCTTTCCCTGACTATAAGAGCTGAATGTTTCCCATTGACTCTCAAATTGAGACTTTCTAATTGTGCCCTCAATGAGTCCAATTCATTCATAGAATTTCCAGCTTTGAGCATAAATACAGTAATGTTAGTTCCCTTCTGGCACTCCTTTTACAGTGCTTGGACACAATGCTGCTGAACTGAACCCAGAATACAGCTGTAATTGCTGACAGGACTCCATTAGCTTTGAAGCCTGCAAACAGGACAGTTTCTGTGGCAGTGACAACTGGCAAGTCTTAAGTCCAAAAGCTGGGGACTTAGACAACAATGAATACTGAGTAAGCACTGCAGGCTGCTTGTGGAGGGAAAAAAGCCTTGTGAGTATGTGTGGAGGAAGAAAGAAACTTGTATAATTAGGACCTAGCTGAGAGACACTTTCCAAAACCAAGTTTTGAGGGTTGGTGGTGTTTCTGTAGGAGCCAGGGGTAAGGGTGGCATTCTGCACATCCTCTTAAATCATATTAAAGGGGAAAAGAGGAAACAGTGTAGAAAACTCCAGGTAAACAGAGCCCCAGCAAATGATGATGAATACCTGGGGCATGACCAAACAGAAGATAGAGGAAGAGACAGACAGGTAGAGGAGAAATGTATTTCAGATTTGGCAATTTTCCCATGCTGGAGAGCAAGGATGACAACCTGGCTGATGATTTGTTGGATGGGAAAAGAAAGCCAGACTATTATGAGGTATTAGAACAAAACTGAAGACAAATGAAAATGATATACAGTGTACTGAATGAGGATAAAATACTAAAAGAAGTGAAATAATAATCCATGTACTGCAGCATAGAATAAAATTCAGAAGACAAAATGGGGGAGAAAAACAAAACTCAGGAGCTAGGAAGAGAGCCCTTCTATCAGTAGGGGCTTTGACCATGAAAAGGTTGTTGTGTAGTCACAAGATCAGATCCATTGGCTATTGGGAGCCAAAAAAAGCTGTGGAATGTCTATCCGGGACTTCAAAAGATTGAGATGAAAGCAGGATAGGAGGACAGTCCTGTTCACAATGTCACATTTCTTGTGGAACTGATTGAGTTGTGCAACAACACAGCAGAAGCTCCAAGAGAGGCGCCTGTGAGATTTAACTTGTGGTGGTAGAAGGGCATTTTCTTCATCTCTTCAGTTTGGAGCTGTGAAGGGAGATTGGAGAGAGCCTTTGCCCAATTATCACCGTGTATCCCTGAGTGGTGGGTTGAATCCTAGGAGTTGTAAGAGTGAGAAATGGAGCCTGACTTGAGGAAGAGAACATCATGAATGGCAGTGGAGTAAGCATGGAGGGAAAAATAAGAACGTTTTTGTGCAACTTGTGATTCTGTGGAGCTGCTGATCACCTCAGGGCCCTGAAATACAAGGGCTGTACATAAGTCAGAGTAGATAATACTGCAAGGGCTTCAAGTGGAGTGCTCTTGAAGCAGCCTAACTCAGAAGGTTTCCAAGTGGACCATGGAAGGAGAGAGAAGGATTAGTTAGGTGAGCTTTGACTCTGCATGTGACTGATGGCTTATGTCCCCTTCTACTGGGAACTGGTCACCATTAGCAGGGCAGGGTGGTCTTGGGGTCCCTGTTGTGTTCCCCTGAAATGGAGCAGTAGGAGCTCTGTGACTCGATGTTCAAACTGCCCCCAGGATCAGTCTGAAGTTGATCACAGAGCCTCATGCACATACAACTGTGCCTCCTTTCCTCCATGTGATGATGCAATGCAAAATTGGGAATGTCCCCAAGAGACACAGGCACAGTGAAATGAAACCAGATGTGAGAGACAGCATGCAGGCACAGCCTTCTCTTGATCTGTAAATCACTCTTTCAGGAAGATACATTTCTTAAGGACTGTCTTGCATTACTGTGTGTGGTCTCTTAGAGTTAGGGAGGTAAACATCCAGGGAGGGTTGGTGAGGAGGGTGGGAGGGACAAAAGGAAGAAAACAACTTTTCATAGAAGGTCAGTCATCTAAATCATGTTGCAGTAAATCAGGAAAATAATAAAAAGGGGTCTGTATGTAGGAATACCCCAGAGACAGCAAGCATTCCCTTTTGACATTTGTAGTATGCAAGCCACTTAAACTTGAAACACTTTTGTTTCAATAGTGGTGGCTTGGAAAGGCAGGTCTGGATCTCTTCTTATTTTAGAGATGGAATAAGTGAGGCATATGCAAAGGTTTCTCTTGCACATCTAGGCAGAGAAAGACCTCTGAATCCTGCCTTTCTTAAGGCAGACTGATGGTCCAGCCAGAGATATGAACTGCTTCCATTCAGCCAAAGCAGTCCACTGCTTGGCAAAGGCCACCCTTGGAACTTTCAGTGAGTGCTGCAGTGTATTTGTTCAGGGTTCTTGAGATACCACTGTGGTATTCAAATATTTGTGTGGTTTGCATTGCTTCCAGTACAGGTGTGGTATTGAATGAACGGGTAGAAGCAGTGTTGCATGTGTGGAAGCTGACAGGTATTAAAAGAAACAGTGCTGTACTGCAGTAGTCAGCCTGGGGCATCGTGCTATATTAATTTCAAATACTCACACTCTTGGGGAGGTTCTGTAGGGACTTAAATGGAGCTTATAATAGTAACTTATATAAGTTTATTCCAGCATTGCGAAATGGAAAAAAAAATAAATCACTGGAGATAAAAATTTTAATTAAATTCTTTATCTTTGATGGAAAATATAACTTCCAAAGGAAGATTAACATAGCATCATGAGTAACCATGGGATGATTTCATCACTACTAATTTGAACATGAAATGCATCAGCATATAGAATTCAGACAGCTTTGTGAATTAAAAGCCTCTGATGTCTGTATTAGAAATATCCTGCGGATATAATTTACGTATCAAAGCTTCCATTCTACTTTTGTTACAGCATATGGTGGTTAGCTGTGATGGTGCTTTATATTTTAGAGTGTCAGTGACTCACTGATATTCTTAACCTTTTTCCTCTGCTGAGCTAGCAGCTGAGCTGAGAATCACTTCTTTACTGGTGTGTGTGAAAAGAGACAGACAGCCTTTAACCTGTTGGAACTCTCTTATTTTGCATGTTAGCATAGGAGGAAAAATAGTGATCCTCTAAAAAAGTTAAGGCTGTCATTGTGGATGTTGACCATGATCCTTGTACATTTTATTAATTTGAATGATCCCAGTAATTTCTTCTTTGTCCTGTTAAACATGATGGTATGCTTAAACTCTCATGCAGGAAAATAAAGCAAGCCAAATAATATCAATCTTCCTGTCACCTGTACCTGTTTAGCAAAATAAACCAATAAAAATCTTCTTAAAAAAAACAGAAAGCTAATAGCAAGTGAATAAAATGTAAAACCAAAGAGGAAATGTGTTTGTTTTATGTTTTTATTTTGAAAGCCTTTACAATAAACTGCAGTCTTTTGAAAGACAAGACTCTGGTCCAATAACTGCCTAAAACTTTCTGGTGAATTTACAGAAACCTAAGTTTCTGTGTAAAAGATTATGACTAAAATTGCAATAATATACTCTTAAAATTTTTGAAAAATGTCACTCAGACCTTTTTAGCAAGAAATTTGTTTTCATTTTTAAAACAACTGAACTATTTAAGTATTTAGAGGGAAAAGAGGTAATTGCTACTGTTCAATTGAAATATTTGGGAAAAAGAAATTTTATTATGAAATAATGTCAAGAAGGAAAAGTTTTCTGATGATGAAGGAACTAACATCAAAATACAGTTCTAATTTTAGGTGGTTGGCTTGGACTAGAAGAGTCTTTCTAGTGCCACTGGCAATGTGTCAGCTGTTTGTGCTGTTTGTTTTTTTGACAGCAGTCCTTCAGAGCAGGAATATTGAGTTACTTGAGTGGCACAAATCCTGTGGGAGCAAAACTTTCTATGGTGACTTCTGTGGGAGAAAGTGTCATTGAGACTGTGCCTCAGCAAAGAGTTCTTGGTCAACAGACCAGAAAAGGTTCTGTGCACAGACCTGTTTGCTTTCCATTATCTGCTTCCTCAAGTCTTGTCTTCCTTTGGGTCTCTGCTACTGAAATGAGGAGCAGCAGCAAGGGATCAAGATGCAATGATATATAATTTTCCTTTCAGTTCAGAACTACTAAGTCCAAAGTTGGTTCTGCAAAGAAAACCAGCGTGTTCAATTTTTTGAAGGTTTTCTCCTGGGTTTATGAATTTGAAACGGCCCTGGGGATATCCAGCTTGAAGAAGAGGATTATTGTTCTGCTATTGCAGATGGACAAGTAGATAGAAAATTTTCTTAATATAGTATGTTCTTAAATCTTATGTCATCCTGCTCAAAAATGATATCACAACAGTAAAATTAGGAGTGCAAATTAGATAAGGCACTGTTGTTGAGGTCAGCAGTAAATGTTTGCAAAAGGTAAGGGGTTTTTTTCCAAAACTATTCATGGTAACTCCTGTCAGCAGAGCAGTATAGCAAAGGGTGTTTGTGTTCTACAATAACTTCTTAGCAGCAAAGTATGAAGTGCTTTTGTCCACCTATGAAGTACTACTGTATTGAGGTTTATTATTTATATTTTTATTAATTAATTTATCTATTACTTATTTAAATGTCATTGTTCTAATAAAACATGGAGTAACAATTGTTTATTTAATTACGTATATAACTCTTCTGGTATGTCTGCCATTTGTTTGAGGCCTTCATTACATTTGTGGGTCTGTTAGTTTCATTTTGGGGAAGATTCATATTAATTTTTTTTCCCCCTACTGATAATTAGAATTATATGTCTTAGCTTGTTAGGGAGTACTGTAGCATCTGATTTAAAATAATAGTTATCAACTATTTGAAGGAGAAGAGCAAAGAGATTGATTTTTATTACATAAATAAACCTGTGTGTTCCTTTAGTGCAACTTTTTTACCAGTGTGCATTTTTCAGGATGTGCTTCCTCTGGCAGGATGGATTTTGGTACATAAACCTTTCACTACCTAAAGGGGGGGATCTGCAGGAGAGCTGCAGAGGGACTTTTTACAAAGCCATGGAGTGATAGGAAAAGGGGGGATGGGTTTAAACAAACAATGGGCAGGTTTAGATGAGTTATTAGGAAGGAATTCTTCACTGTGAGGATGGTGAGGGACAGGCACAGTTTGCCCAGAGAAGTTTTGGTTGTCCCATTCCTGGGAGTGTTCAAGGCCAGGTTGGATGGGGCTTTCAGGAACCTGGTCTAGCTGAAGGTGTTGTTGTTCCTGCCCAGGGGCAGGGGGATTGGACGAGATGTCTTTAATGTCCCTTCCAACACAAACCATGCTGTGATTCTTTGCATCGAAACAGAATGGAAAATAGCTAACTTACCTACTGCTGCATCTTCAGAAGGAAACTTTTTACAATTGCAGTGAGGAGTATTTTTCAGGCATTTTCATGTGCTTTTCAGAATTTAACTCTGCTGTCAGAGTACTCTGAGGATCTAAATATAGCAGGCTGTAGTGTTTTGAAGTGATAGTTTCGAATGAATTTCCACATCTCAAAACTGGCACCTGTTAGATCAGAATACAGTGAATTATGCCCACTCCTACTGCATTTCACTCTCCATTTCTGGTTCTATGCATATTAATGATGATTCAGTATGCCTTTTCATCTTGGCAGTCTGATTTTTACAGCTAAGAGGTAAATATAAATAGCATGATTTCAATTGAAAAACATCGATTTCCTCCCAAAGCAGATGTTTTTTTATCTAGCTAGTGGTAGGATATTTCAAGGCAAGATTACTGTTCCTATTTCCATTTAAAGATAAAGGGAGAAAAGAACACCTTGGTATATTTGTATTTTGACTGTTAAGTGTTGACTTTTCTCCAAGAGCTTTTCTTTCATTAAGGTATTTTGCCTATCCAAACTGCTTTTATTAAAATTGTCTGTGCTTTTAAAGGTTGAAAGGTATAAGCAGATGTTAATTTTGTGGCATGTTTCTTGTGTGTGTGTTTTGGTGTCTTTTTTGGGGCAGGGAAGGGGTGTTCAGCTTTTTGTTTGCTTTTTTTGTTGTTTGTGACTGCTAGCTAATTTTGATCTTGATGCTGGTTGATGGCATGCTTTTTCTTTCCTTTTGGTTTTCCCACTAGTAGCTCCAAAATACTATGGGATGTAACAGAGTTCTGACTCACTGATGGCAGTGGCAGAAGAGAGTAGAGCACTCTGCTGGTGCAGACCTTACCAGAGCAACAGAAATGTTATCAGCTCTTCTACATACTGGTTTTTCTGAAGCTCATCAGTCATCCTTGACAAACAGCAGAGCTCAGCTTGGTCAGGTTTGGTCACTCAAGAACAGGTCTTGTGTGAAAACAAGATCTAATGAACATCTACAGCTCCCTAAGATTTTTGATGTTCTTCTCTCAAAAATTGAATACCTTTTTATTTATTTTTTTTCTGACTGAGCCAGGGCTAAAGGCAAGCATTTGAATCCTTATTAGATTTTTATCTGCCCCTGAAGCAGATGTTTCCACTTTGTTTATCTTTCCAGGCTTTCCTCATGAAATCTATGGTCCAACTGGTACATGAAATGTTACCCAGTATTTTTAGCAGCATCTGCAGCTGCACTGTTAGATGTCTTTAGACCTAGCCCAAACAAAATACTTGTCCCACCTCCACAGGGATTTGTGTACAGTTTTTAGAGCCTTCCAGACTTGAGGTTTCATCTTTTATCCCCTCCATAACCATAAAAGCATAGGTAATTGTAACTGGCAGATGCTCAGTTTATGAAGTGCAAACAGGTTTAGAATAACATGTGTGCAAATGCCCAAGGTTAGATACTCAAGGTAGTAAAAGGAATTTAAGTTCATATTGTATAGAAAAGAACTTTTCTATGTTGTTTGGATTTTCAAACTAAATATGAAAACCTTTGTGTTCTGTTTCATCCAGTGATATATGGCTGATTTAGCTCAGAATGGTTTTGATACCCAACGAAATACTTCAGTCCTTGTTAATACAATAGTAGAGGTGTTTTATAGAGTTTTATGTTTCTAAATTAGTTGGTAACTTGTTTTAAAGAAGCATTGATTTTCTTTCTTACCCAGTTTGCTGTTTTTGGTGTGTGTTGCACTAAATGTCACGTTGAGTTTGTCTCTGTGAAGCCATCTATACTGCAGAATTTTAAATGCCTAAGAGGTGTTTTTTCTTCCTGTTCTAACCTTAATTACCTGGATTCCTTGGGAGCTTCAGCTTCCCCCCCTCCCCCGACTTCTTTTGTTCTCAGAAAATTTGATCATTAAACAATTAGACTCCAGGCAGAACAGAAAATGACACGTGGACAATAACGAGGTCAGAAGCTCCCACATAAAACCTGTTGAATCTTCACAGAGGAGTTAGGTCATGCTAAATTATCTGCATGTGTTCCTGATCTGTATGCTGGCAAGGATGAATGAGAGGCTGAGTATAATGGAGATCTTTAATAGAAGAGATGATGGACACATTCATTCTGATGAATCCCAGTCTCTGACAGAACTGTGTCTGCTGCCCTGGCTAAATCAAATTTTGTCAAGTTAGCAGCTCTGAGAGCTGTCTGCTAGGCTGCAGAATCTGTGCTGGAAGAGTATTTCCCATTTTTGGTTTGATTCTGCCACCTAATTTAGCCATCTGTTAACTGATTTTGGAACTCCTCTGTGGATATGTTTAGTATTGCACTGAGTCTGAAGGAGCTGGGCTTTGACTCCAGAGGTGGATGGGGCTGCATGGTTCTGTGGCCATGAACATACCTGTGCATGTGGTGGTTTTGATTGTTTGTGACATCAGTATTTCCATCATTCCCCCTTTGCAATCACAGTCCCTAAGAGCTGCTTTTATGTTTTCTGAGTGCAGAGTTTCAGGGTGGAGAATCACGTCTTGACCTTGAAGCTGCATCGAAGCCAGACTGTGAATCCTGGGCTGTGGCACTGGGAGAGGCGAACTCGGAAGGTGTGCAGAATAAAATCCAGCAGCTCCGGAGGCTGATCATGGAAATCAAAGAGGAGAGATCATCAGATGAAGCACAACAGTTTCTCCCTTCATCCCAGTTAGACAGTCTAGGAGAGCCCCAGTTTACGAGTAAGTGCATTGACTCATTTTCTGGAGTGGTGCAATCAAAGTGACCCAGTCTCTGTGGCAGTTCAGATAGTGTCACAAGCAGGGTTCAAAATGCTGTTCAACTCCTTGCTTGTCCAAGTGCAGTTTAGAGGAAATAAACTGATGAAAATTGTCTTCAGATTTTTTTTCCCTTGTTACATTTTGGTTTATGCATATAACCTTCAGAAATGTGTGTTTCTGCGTTTCTGAGTTTTTCTCTATTTTATTCATAAGACGTATCTTTTTTTCTCTTTTATGTGCTATATGAACATATGGACTACTGTTTAAAATATAGTCTGACAACTTTGATAAATGCATAAATCTTTAGTGATACTTAAACTAGTATCACAGATTTGTTCTATGTGATCTAAAAGCACTCTGGGGATTTGAATGCAAGTAGCCATATGTTGAGTTGCATTTGGTGCACTGGAGTCAGCAGACTGTATTTCAGTTGCCTGGTCACTTAATCAATTCTGTATCCAGCATATTCATGAAGGTGTTTTAAGCCAATATGCTAGTGGCAGAGATCAGCTCAGAAATTTGTTAAATCTCCATAAAAAACCCCCAAAACCAAGAAACACTTTTTTTTTCGTTTTGATCTTTCTAAGCTCTGCAGCTGTAATTCTTCTCACACAGATGTGAATGAATAGCTACACTAATGAGAATGGTGTGAATCTAGATTTAGCAGCATTAAGGTTTTATGGAGCAGACACAGCTATAAGTTAGGGGTGGTTTTTTTTGTTTGTGGGTTTTTAAAGTTATTTTTTTAAATACAAATCTTATTCCAACTCAATCCTTCCCATCTGACCGATTTCTTCAGTATTGATCAATAATTAATAATGCCTACTGGGAACCATACAAAAATGTCAAGAAGAGAGAGTTTAATTTCTACAGGTTCATTGAAACTGTAGTTGTGGTCCAATTACTTTCTGTATTGTGTGAACAACTCAGTCTTATTCACCTATCCCTCCTTGCTTCCTGTGTTTTTCTTGTTACATCTCTATGGTTCATTCCTTTATTTTAGCACAAGAAAATATTGCCATTTGCAGTAAAATATGCAATAGAACATAATTCCACAATGAATTAAACTGTTCCTGTTCCTGCCACTTAATAAGAGGAATTAATGTACTTATTTTCCAACAGAAAGAAATTGAGTTGACTTTACAATTTTTTTGTAGATCAATAACAATATTTTACTATATTAACCTGATTTGCCTACTTTCACAAAATATAAGGTTTGTTTCTAATGTGATGATATAGCTACTAAAAATTACATTTGAGACTTAAATTTTTTCCAATGCACACATAGCCATTGTGACTGAAAAATCTTACAAGTACCCATCCATGAAAGCCTGGGGTTTTTTTCCTAGTTTCCTTTCTTTCCATTAAGAAGCAAGTCTTCTTCAAAAGTAGGCTTTTTTCAGGCAAATATTTTTTCCAAGTTTGATTTGACCATGAGTTTTTAACACAAAACGTTACTTTAGTGGCCGTGGCAGTGATTATAGGCAACTGGAAGTTTTACTATGTATTAAAAAGCAAGACATGAAAATCAAATTATTTCTAATTGTCTTTTTCTTGACCTTTTAAGGTATTCAGAAAATTGCAAATGAGCCAAAGCTGGAGTTCAGTCTTGGTAAGATATAATTTTGAATTTTTGGAACTGTAATGGCTTGTCTGTGTGTGAGGAGTTTTCACATATATAGTGTTATACAGTGTAACATGTGACCTGTTTAAAAAAATGAAGATCTAGGTGTGAGAGGTGCCTCTGCATGTCTTTTGAAATGCTGATTTTCAGTTTCTTAATTGGTTGGAATGGCTAAAGGTTTATTGAATTATCTAATGCTGCTCTGCTCTGTCAGGCTGAAAATCTGCCCAACAGCTTTGCAAATGTGGTTTCTGAAATACTAATTATTTGGAAATTGACATTTAATTTGAATTTTTTGAAGCAATATTCAGATAAAAGTACTTTTGCTTTAGAACAAACTTTAATCTAAATGTGATATTATTTGGTAGTGAAGAGGCAATGTAAATATTTGCCTGACTTTGCCATTTTACACTTAATGTAAGTAATTGGTATATGAGAACTATATATTGCTATAGTATGTAACAGAATTATTTTGGAAGGTGTTCTATCAGCTCAAGCTTCCCCCTCCATTTAGAGGCTACAGAATGATTCAGATTGCTCAGTAAGTCAAGCAATCTAATTGAATAATGGTATATTTGTAATACAAGGTCAAGGAGCACAATATGTCAGCCCAAACTGTGCAATGTAAACTTGGCTTCTCTTCACTGTTCTTTCAGTGCAAAAACTTTGAAGCCTTTTAAATAGTAAGTGAAATAATTATTTGCTGGAGAAACACTAAACGCAAGGATTGCATGTGGGAAATAGGAATGATAACTAGGTTTATTTGATTAGTGGCTGGACTCTCTTTAGGGTCTTTGCCAATTGAAATGATCCTTTGATTATTCCCTGCTCCAGTGTATGGTAAAATAACACAGTTAGAGATAGTGTAGCTTTTGAAATATTTGATACTATATACTGACTGTATTCTGTACTAAAACTTGTCAAATTTGTTATGATTTTTACATCCATATGACCTGCAAATATTTATCTGATGTTATGTTGCTGTACACTGAGAAAATTCTACTCAGTGTTATTCAGTATCTGTTAAATTTACTCTGGTGTAAAAGCTTTTATAACATCTGTTGCAAAAAAGTTTGAGGGAGAGGGAAATAGAACTGTGAGCAGAATATTATGTACTTAGACTCCACTATTGTGAGAATTTAAATAGTCTGCCAACCAATATCCTTCAGAAACCCCAAACACGTAAACAGGATGGCATCAGTGATGTGACTGCAGGTTCTGGTTTTGCCCCTTGCATTTTTGAAGCCTCTTTCCTGGCCTTGTCCTTGGAACTGGGTTACACTCGGTTTGTGTGCTGCTGCAACTAGGGTGATTGAAAAGCTTATGCCTTAAAGCTGTGCCCTTTGGGACAGACTCAGTTCTATTTGGTACAGCCATTTTTAGAATACCTTAAATTTTATCTATGTGTTTATATCTGTATGTCTTGTAAAAATTAGATAGCTATGGCATTACAAAAAAATTTGTTGAGTAAGTCATGGGGTTTTCTTCTGTATAGACTGTTTCTGCAAAAGTTGTTATAAGCTGGCATGGAACAAAGGGCTCATTCTCTGTTGGGGGAATCACCATGGTATAATAATCGTTAAGAGCGGATTTAACTTTTCTGTGCATTTCTATTTACATTTTATAGGTGATGTGACTGTAGTATTTGGGCAAAGGCAGTAATTGCAGCGTTCCAGCAATAACAAACTCCCACAATGACTCTGGAGTAGTGTAGGAGAGGGAGGAAGGCGCTACAGGCGCTGACTGCAAATTAGATCAGCAGTGCTTCAGGAGAAGTTGCTCTCTGTGATAAATGTGCCCCAGCAGGCAGAACTGTAAAAACAAAGTAAAGCCATTTTCAGACTTGTTTGGGCTCGTGCTGGATGGATCTCTATTCACTCAGTGTCAGTATTTGTATTATGCATTGGGCTGTTTCTAGTAGGCATTTATGTTTTGTGGTTTGTTCTGCAGCATTATTGATTGAGTCATTGCAGCCCTGTGAGGGATCTTATGCACTGGCTGCTGCTCAGGTAACAAATAGGAGTAGCAGCATAAACCTCTTGGTTTTGGCTCATACTCCTGCCCAGAGTCATTAAGTCAGGGAAATTTGGCAACACAGGCAGTTGTATAAAGGTGATTCTTAGTGTCTTGATCATTAAGTAGTACTAAATACTTAAGCATAACACATTTGCATTAGGGGAATCCACCTTTAGTGACTTAACAGTCAATGATATTATTAGCAGTTATCCTTCTTACTGGAATATCAACATTCCCATGCCAACACTTGCTAGCTCCAGCAGCCCCAGTCACCAGCACTGTGCTGTTTGTACAAATGTGCAGCAGACACCTCCTGCTGATGAGTGACACTGGATCCATTTAGCTGGGAAGGATGCACATGCTGCATGGCCCAGCAAGTTAAAATTCCCCTTGCAAGGGCAGCCAGTGGAGATGCCCCTGGGCTTTTCACCTGGCTACTGGCAGGGCTGGAAGGGACTGGGGAGCACCACTGCTGCTGGCAGGCCGAGGACACTGCTTGACTGACACCATCCTTTGAGGGATTTTGTCTAATTAAAGACTTGGCATTCACTGTAGCTAATCCAGGACTTCCAGGATCTCTCTCTGAGGTGAGCCAAAGCATGGGAAGCAGGGATGCAAGAGGAATTTGCTGCAAGCAAGCACCACAGCTATGATGTGTGCCTGGCTGGGGTAACCAAATCTTAGGGCTCTGCAGAGACATTTCAGCTTGATTAGGCTTGTATTTGGCATTTAGAATTTGGAAGGCAAATCTAACAGTTAATGATGTATAAAGCTGGTCTCTCTAGCCCTGAAAAAATGGCTTATAGAATGGCCTGTAATTTTGTTCATATTCACTGTATAATTAATATTATTATATTAAAATAGCATACTTTCACATATATATGTAAATAGACATTTGCTTATATTGATTGATATACAGTTGATATACAAATGTCTTGAAATATATTTTTAAAATTTTGACATCTCAGTTGTAGTTTAAGTCTTGTCACTTGTTGGTCAATAAATAACATTCAGAAGTGAAACTTCAGTAACCAAAACAAAATATAGCTTTTAAGTAGTATTTGGGTGCTGCCTAATACATGAGTTTTATTTAGGGACATTATATCTGAATACTGCTGTTCAGTGTTTGAAGCTCTGATTATTAAATATTGAAATAATATTAAAATTCTTCTTAGGGTTTTGTATTTTGTTCCAGTAGTTACCTTGCAACATCCTATATCTGTAATACTCTGGAAAGCATTTTCTTCATAAAATTTCTAAATATTGCTTTCTCTTATTTTAAAGTTCAATAAAGTGTTTTGTTTTTTTTTTCTTTTTCCCTGAGGATAAAGCAAAGAATAAAACTCACCTGAATTACAACTTTCCACTGCAATACACTCAGCATTTTCAGGAGTGTGCCTGTCTTGTAACATAACTTTGGAGTCAGAGCATACTTTAGACCAAGATTTTGGAGTTTTATATTCCTGGGGACTCTTTGGAAATATGTCTTATTTCTGAACCTTGTAGCTGCTGCTAAGTTTAACGTGACAAACTCTCTTTTGTTTGGCATTTTGAGTGCCTGTGTTCTGTATGCAGTTCCATGAAACATTAGGAGGTAAGATATGACAGCCTGTGCAGGGTGCTGAGCAGAGCAAAAGGAATGAAACCAGATACTGGGCCTGAATAACAAACCAGTGAAACTGATAAAAATCTTTCCCATGACTTTGAAGTGTGCAGGGTTAGATCTTATACAGATGTTTATTTTGAAGCTACACTTCTTGGTTGTTTTTCCAAAATATGCCAGGCCTTGAGTCCCAGACCTAACTAAATATGTTGTGGGTTCCCGACTTCAAAGCAGCTGTGCTACATCAATGGGAAGTATGTGAGCCCAGCTGAAGTATGAGGTAATAGTCATTACTGCATGTTGCTGAACACTATTGTCAAGTTTTCAAGAGCTTGTATTTCTAAGGGTATTTGATAGTGAGCTGACAAAGCAGCAGAAGAAAACTGCAACAATCAGAAAAATAAGGGAGCAAGGTGGAATGAGCAGTTGGTGGTCAAAGTGCTTAAATGTGAACTCAGTAATGAACATGATGTTAATAGGGAGAAATAAATTAGAGAAAAAAGGGAAATGAGTTTTAGTTACTCTCTGAATAACTGACACAATTTTAGTGTTTTTGCATTTGTCTTATTGCTTACAGTTGTAAAGAGAGGGCAAGGGATAAGGTGGTTGTAGTATGGTAATAGTAACCAAAATAGCTGTATAGAAAGGAATGTCTCTGCATATATCATGGCATACTCAGGTGGTAATTTTAATGAGAGCACCTGTCTGACATTTCCAAAAGTGCTCTTTTTTTTTTTTTCCATCTATATTAGGGCAGTGAATTTTGATAGACTGTTCTATTGTTGAGTAACCTCTAGGTACTTTTCAAAGTATAGAGTAATGTAAATATTGTGATTATGATTTGACAAAATCTCACTAAATAGTGCACAATTCACAGAAAACTTGGGCAAGTACTTGAAAGTATTAAAATTTTAAATTTCTAGGTTGCTTATTCTTTTTACCAAATAGTGGGTTGATAAAAAAAAGCAGTCTACCTGTAAATGCACAAGTTTTTATTCTCCAGGATCTTATTTTTCCCCGACTGATAGTGTGATGCCATCCTTTTGGGCAAGGTCTTGAAGCAGATTTAACCCTGCATACTGAACATAAATGGTATATTGATGCTGCTCAAAGAGCATGACGAAACGATTTTTCCAATTCTGAAATATAATCTGGAGCTTTTTCAGCAGCAGCTGTTCTGGAAGAAATATAAGCAGAAGGACTTGTTTTATCCATACCACAAACTTGAAGCCAGTCTTGATCCTAGCAGAATTTGCCCACTTGATTATCCTTCTGCTCCATCAAGTTACGAGTTGGTGAAGAAATGATGCTTTGTTGTATTAGCCAAATAAAACTGTAAAAAAAGTCATCATCACACTTGAGAGTAAAT